CTCTTCTGGTCACTGTGTTTATTTGGAACAGAGTGTCTACAGATGTAGGGCACCCTCCCTGGCCTTGCATGCACACAGCGGGCTTTACTGAACAGGTAAGCAAAATGTGGCCCATGGATCTTTAAGGGAACTTCCTTGAATATCAGCCTTTTTCAGGTGCTGTTTGATTACAGGTCCTAATAAACCTCCTGCTGGTAGAACCCTGTTTTAATGATTAGCATCAGTACATCCGGTCCTCTGTAACAAAGATATTTGCAAGTCCCAACAGACGGCCCAGAGTAACACAGCTGTAGTGATCTGGTTTCAATAACTCTTGTGAGCAAAAAATGCTACATAGCAGATGTTCTTTTTTACTAGTTCCCATTAATGTATGGATGATTCTTTATATCAAAGGTAGTGTAATTTGGGCATTTATTTGTACTGTTCAGCATGAAGTATTTTTTAATCAATTCACTGATTTGGCAAAATGTTGTTTCAAATGATTTTTTTTTCTTCTTTTTTGGTGGCATACTTTCAGAAGGGTTGACAAGAAAGTAAAAAATGAGGTGATTCTCAAAATCAGAGTATGGAGATTGGCTACCAGGGTTTTCAGTAAAAGTGCCCTTAGGGAAAGACAAAACAAAACAAAAAAAAATCAAGTTCTTATATCACCTTGCTTAATATAGTGTAGCACTAAATCGTCTATTAAATGAGAATGTATCTATACAGTTTGAATATCCTGTTCAGATTAAATGAGGTGTTCCCTGCACTGACCTTTTTAAAGAAGATAATATTATTTTTCTACAATAACCCAAGGTTTTAAAAACTTTTTTTTTTAAATAGGAGATGTCAGTGTTCAGCACTCAAACCACTGCAGAGTTTGTGCTGAATAAAGTATATATAAATGACAGAAAATGTAAGTTAGTTGACTAATGTTCAGCAGTGATTATCAAATGAGAACATTTTGTTTTTAAACTGTATTGACCCCTCTCCACCTACCATTTGCCTGTAAAGCTGCCATGGTTAACAGTTCTTAGGCTAGTGAATTGTTTTTAAACAGAAACACCAACTCTGCTGATTTCCTGATTGTTGATGGGCATTCATTTTTTTTTAACACAGATATACAACAGGAAACGAAAAATGATGACTACATGCTATGCTAAGGAAAATAATACAAGTTGAGAAAATATTGTTTTTAGATAGGCCGATTTCCTAAACTATTTCCTAAAGCTGTCTTACAAGTTTGTCTACCATGTTACAATATGAACATGTACGACATATATTCCTTCCTATCACGGGCAATTCTTCTTATCTATCTATATCTCAGTCCTTTTCTTTCAGCAACGCTGAGCCCAAGGTTTCATTGTCAAGTTCAATAAGACAAGGAAGTGAACATTTCCCTTAATTGGAAACAACAGGGAATTATATAAGAATAAACGTTCAAGGGTCTGCTGAGCAAAAAGAGTCCAAAAAGAAGAAATAACAGCTGGTGGGTTTCATGAGGAAGAGTAGTTACGATTCCTGGTTGGACTTCTCCAGATCTCTTTCTATGAAATTGGATCAGCACTTTTGACTTCTCCCTTTTTTGTAAAAATAGCCCTCGTTGTCTTGTGAAATTGTTCCCATAACTTGCAGATGTTTAAATGCTCATTTTACATAAATGTAATTTATATATTCAATGAAACGTAAATACGTAGACTAACAGCATCCTGGGCAAAATAGTCTTTTAGAAAGTTATAGATTCAGGACCCTCAGGCTATGAAAGAAGCACTCTGCCTTTGGGGTGAGACCATTTGTTTAAAAGGTTCTTCGATCTTCTAGATTCTAGAATACCTTAGAATTAAGCCCTGCACCATGTGGGTTTTTTTTTTTTAAGATTTTATTGGGGAATTGGGGGAGGGAACAGCATTGGGGAATCAGGGAAGGAGAAAAGACAAGTTGCTGTCCTTTTGTTCTTTAGTCTAGTTGTGGAGGATGTTGCTTCACTGGCCCACGTAGGTATTATCATTGCGCTCTTCCCGGGTGAGGCAGTTGCTTGCTGGCCACTGGACGGCTGCTCATGGCAGCTCACAGCAGCTCATGAAAACTCTCAAACTCTCACCCGCTGCCAGCCAGCCCCATTGCAGCCTACATCGTCACCAGCGACTTACGGCAGCCCAGCTCCAGGTCGAGCTGTTGTTCACCATCTTAGCTGTAGAGGGCGCAGCGCCACTGGCCCTAATGTGGGATCCGAACCGGGGCCCTGCTGCTCAGAGCTGGCGTCCCAAGCCAACTCCTAACCAACACGCCACTCGGCCGGCCCCACCATGTGTTATATAGGAAGGCCTTCCCCAGTGTTCTGCTTATTCTAAATCGACATCTCATTTATTAACGGGGTATGTACATAAATCAAAGCCACTCAGTTAAATACAACAAACGTTGAATAGTCCCACATGAATTATGAATAGAGCAAGAATAACTTTCTATAATACTAAACTGTGAGAATAGGACATCTGGAATGCCCAATGTTCAGCCACCAAACCAACATGGTCAACTTCAATGTTTTGGGGATTTTCCTGGATGTAGATGGGAAGAGGCACCAAGGAGGGATTTAGAATGACTTCTCTTACTCCCAAACTCTGGGCCACCCGAGCCTACTAAATGGTGAGCCTGCCAGGGACAATGGGTGTTTATCAGGGAGTCAGTCCTATGTGACAGATCACCTCCACCTTGGGAGGTGATGGGGGTTTTACGCTGGGAGAGAAACTGACCTTCAGGATAAGGTGTCTGACCTCTCCCTCCCCTGACAGCTATTTCTCTCCCTAGACAGCTGCTGTTCCAAACAAACTGCGAGGCAGCCCTTTGACAAATGAAGCCAAACCAGGATTCTTTGTTTCTCCTAAGCCAACAAACTGGCATTCCACAAGCTCATTAGGGGGCCGTGAATTACCGCCAGGCCAGGCCAGGCCTGCTCTTCCCAATCCCTGGTGATCCCTGTGGCCACACGTTCCCATGATCTGCAGGGCCAGATAATGCTGTCCACAGTTCACATTCCATCCTGTCAGGGTACTCTCGAAAATAAATAATATTTACAGCACAGGTCAGAGCTGGCGAAAGAAAAGGGGGTCAAAGTATCTCCGGAGAAAGCAGGACAGGCAATGGATGTGTGATTGTTAAACCGCTGTTCATGGGACTCCAAACAAAATCTTTGGAAGTAGAGGTTGAATCTGTACTTATCGAAATCCCCAAACTCCAATACCAAATGAAGGGCATAAAAAGTAACAGAGGAAAAAACAAAACAAAAAAACACAACACAGTGTAGCTTCTAGATCCTGAAAATGTTTCATTCAACAAATTCAGTGAATGGTGACTGGCCACCGACAATGTTCAAGGTCTCCTACTAAAGCTGTAAAAATCCTTAGTTTAAAAAAAAAAAAAAAAGAATATGACTATTTCTGTGTTATGGCAAGAACTTGGGAAACCTAAATAGAAGGGGCCTGGAGGTCTCCTTATGCAAATATTCAAACTGAGCTAAAGGGACTCCATGTTAGAGGTCAGCACACTACATCTCGCTGGCCAGGTCTAGCCCTCTGCTTGTTTACATATGGCCTGTGAGCCTAGAATGGCTTTTTACATTTTTAAATGGTTGGGGGGAACATCAAAAGAAGAAGATTTTGTGATACATGAAAATGTATATGAAATTCTAATTTTTGAGTCTAATATAAATAGGGATTTTTTTTCCTGGAACACTGCCGATGGCTGCTTTTGCACTTAGGGAGGGACAGTGGAAGAACTGCAATAGGACTGGATGGCCTGCAAAACCCAAGATATTTACTGTATGGGCCCTTTACAGAAAATGTTTGCCGATCCTTGTTTTGGGTCGTAAAATACATTTTTGCTTTTGCTGAGATATCTGAGTGAGCACATATCCCTCAGGTTTTGTTGGAAAGCCTTAGAAATGCACAGGGAGTGCAAAGAGAAAGTAGCTAAGACCTGAAGAACCAGTCAGTATGAACCTGACAAAGCTAGACAGGTACAGTTAAGGCCACTGGCTGAAGTCGTCTACGGTGCATTTACAGATCAAGCCTCACAAAGCATGAGAAAACATACAAGTCCCTTCAAGGGGCGGAGGTACGATTTGTGTTTCTTTTTAATACCAATTTGGCTAATCTCCTGTCAATGGGCCAGAATCCTCTGCACTGATGCTTTGTTTTCTTGTATGTGTGGGTTTGATCTTCCTGCTTCTAGACCTTGATTCTAAAGAAAGGCTCTCCTGAACTTTCCTCAGGGGAGTTTGATACAACAAAGTCCCAGGAATAATGTGTGTCTCTGAGCAGACAGCCCTGTTGGTGGATGGCTACAACCCCCTATTCTGTGAAGGCTCCAGGGATGACCACGAGAGACCGAGAGGCCATTCAGCCATGCTGGTTAGCAGGCACTGCCTGATGGAATGAACGGCAAGACTACTGAATTTAGCAGCTCTACAGGGTTATTAAAGCAGGTTTCCCAGTGGTTAAGTCTGCCTACGTTCTCTGTAACATAATATATGGAGAAGGAAGGAAAGCAGAAGTGGGCTATTTGTGCTGTAACACTTTCATGAAGGAATTCTCCCTATGGAATAGCATTTTGTCCCTTGAGGGTCGGGGACGAAAACAGAGAAAAAAATAAAGATGTCAACATTCAGGTTAGGATTTCCAGGGTCATCCGCAGCCTTAGTCACACCATAGTGGTGATTCAAGGCTTCAGAGAGACACTTGGACCATCTGACGAACCTCCATACAACGGCCATGTGTGACACTGGGTTCTCATCTTGGTCTTTTAGTAACCTCCTGCTTTTTATTTCGTACAGAATACCCCCCTTGCTGTTATTATATTTTCTACACCTGATGTATCTGTTTCAATTGACAACTTGAGAGTTGAACTGCATCATAAATACATATTATTAATAAACGGCCCTCCCACAAAAGATAGACTACTTTCTTTAAATAGAGATGCAACGGGATACATTTTTAAGCAAAAAAAAATTTTTTTTGTAAACTCACCTAGAAAAATCTCCCTTTGCCTCCTGTAGAAGAAAAACATTCAACATCAGTGAAACATTCCAGTATAGTGTTATGGACTCTAAAATACATTCGATAGTCAGGACTATCTGAAGAAGTCCGGCTTACTACTGCCATGGTCTTATCTGCTACAAGAATATAATTCAGAATGGATGCATGCATTTGCCACTTAAATAAGAGATGCTAAACTAAACTTTAGAAAGTTATATAAAAGGAAAGTGAGTCATAATGACAAATTGCAAGTTTCCACCTGCAGGCCCTGGTCTAGCTTTTTCTACTTTAAAGATTCTGAATCTGAGTGTGTGTCTGCGTAGAAATGTCACCTTGTGTTATTTGTTGTTTTGTGTTATATTGCAGGCTAAAGACCCTTGGAGGCAGCGACCATAGCACCTGTAGTGAATCTGGCATAATGCCTTGAACATCATTGTTGTTCAATAAATCTTTGTTGAAGGGATAAATTAATGACATCCTTTCAATTCATCTTGCCAGTGTTACTAAAATGTCACTGTTGCTAATATTCAGTAATGCCGCTTCTTCGCATAAAGCTAAAGAGGTCTTTTCCTTGTCTTTCCAGGGGGCGTGAAGTGATTCTCTTGGCAATTAATTCTTGCTAGTCTATTTATTTGGCTTTCTCCAGAGAGGAAGAGGGCGCCAAACCTGAAGAAAATGGGGTCACAGAATGATCTCAGTTTCCCCCAGGCTCAGGTTATACATCCAGTTTTCCTTTGCAGAGAGATGCTATCTTAAAATTTTGGAATACCAGAAGCTCCGATTTATGGCCATGGTGCACTGTCCCTAACAGCTCTTTCCTACTTCTGGTGAAAATAATGAAGAAGACACAAGTTAGTGGATATGGCAGCTGGCCATGCATGCTAAGTCTTAATTCCCTTCCTTCTGTGTATGGTCAGGAGGGGAGAGCAACTTACCTGTAAAATATAGGAGGCCAATTCAAACACCACTTCGCTGTCGACATCTATCAGCTCCTGCAAAGAACAATCAACAAGAAAGGTGAGTTTGGTACTTTAACAACTTCTTTATGACATCTCCCTAAAACGAGGCCTGGCCTTCCTTTACTGGGGAGTCCCCAGAATCTCAAACCTGATAAACTACTTCTGGTCCCTGAGGCAGCTTCTCTGAATTACTTGGCTCCAAATACTCCCTGACATCCATTGTACAGCTCTCAGCCAGGGTGGACCGAGTGGTCCAGAGTCTACGCAGTCTCAAAAGCCTCATCTTTAAATCTTCATGAGAAATGAAGGAGGGGGCCAGTCCCCATCTTTTTACAAATCTGTTAATCTGAAGAATCAATGGAGTAAGGTTACTTGATAATCACTGAGTAGTGTTTACAAAATAATCATGATGATAATAATAATTATCATGATCATGATTATTTTGTAAACACTATTCAGAACCAGGAGTAAGGCTTTACTGAAAAAAGAAATGTTGAAACAGGACAGGACTGTGATTCTGTACATTAAAATTAAATAAAATTAAAAATACAGTTCTCAGTTGCCACATTTCTTTCATGCACTCAGTAGCTCAAGGTAGCTGTTGGCCACCATGGTGTCAGAGCTGATACAGAGCGTTTCTGTCACTGCAGAAAGCTCTATTGGTCAGTGCTGTTATAAGGTCCAAGTTTAAAAATGCTTCTGTCCTATTAGTTCTTCCCCCAGATAGTTAATCATGATCTATGGACATGGTTTTAAGAGGACATAAACCTTTTGAAAGAAATCTAGTGTGTGTGTGTGTGTGTGTGTGTGTGTGTGTGTGTGTATACATATACACACACACATATAATATACATATACATACATATAAATATTCAATATGTATATAGTTCATATCTCCTTTCTAAATAGCTGTATTGAAGTATAATTGATACATACACAAAACTGCACATGTTGAATATATACAATTTGATAAGTTTGGACATATGCAAACACCTGTGTACCATTACCACATTCAAAGTAATAAACATTCATCCCCTCCAAAAGTTTCCTCGCATCCCTTTATGTGTGTGTGTGTGTGTGTGTGTGTGTGTGTGTGTGTGCTTTTTTCTTTTTTTGTGATAAGAACACTTAACATGAGGTCTACCCTCTTAACACCTTTTAAGTGCACAACACTGTATTGTTATACATATTATAGTTCAGATCTTAAAGACAAAGGGAAACCTGGAGTCCATCAGCATGTAAGAATAATAATCAAATTAATTGACGTCATACTATTGTTATCAAGCTTTTAACTAGAAACGTCCACCTTTCTGTTCTCTTTCTAACATCACTAGGTCCTACAGTGAGTGAGTGGAGCACAGGAAAGTCAGAGCTTGGACAGACCTAGACACAGCTAGCCTCCCCAGCCCCCTGCTTTGACTGAGAACAGAAATCCAGGGCTGTAAGGGACTTGCCCAAAGCCACAAGGCCTTAGTGGCAGTGATGGGGCTGGAAACAACCCCCCAACTTCTTGACCAGCATGTGACCTTACTGGGGACGTGCACTCTCCCAAATCAATCAGGACTCAGTCTCGGACAAATATTCTCAGAACCACATCTATCACTGAAGGTAGCTAAAACAAGAGTCACTTTTCACTTGAATTATAAACCAAACTCTAATTCATGGATCTTCTAATTATTCTGGGGGGTCTACAGTTGGCCCCTGTAATTCAAAACAAGGCACTCATGCAAGCTTGTATCTTTTGAGGGAAGGATCTCATTCAGGATATCATTGGGTGTAGGAATTTCAAAGATGGGTGATAATGTTTGCTACTGAACCTCGTCAGAAGTGTGAGCTAAGAGAACTAACCAGAGCATATGGAAGAATGGGGGGGCAATAATTCTTTCGCTTAACCAGTTGAAGGAGCTTTATGGCCACTGGAATTGAGACAGACTGTCAGTGCTGGGAGGTGGCGGAATGCCTGGAATTGCATTTCTGGGATTACCAGGTCCCATCAGAATGTAAATCATTTAACAATGTATGTTTAACAGAAACACTGTCCAAGGTTTCCACAATGGATCATTTCTACTCTCACTCTGTTCTTTTCCATCCCCACCAATCGGCGTCCTTCAGTCGCTTGTGTGTGCTTGTTTGTGCATTGGTTTAGCGTTGGGATGTATGCTCTTCTGTCAAACATTTACACCTGTGCTGCAGCCAATGGTCAATGGTGGGTTAATATTTAACATCCATGGAGAGGCTTATCTAATGTGAAACTCCAAACCAACCAACAGGAACCAACCCTTTTAAGTGTGAACAATAGCTTTGAGTCCATTATTTGACTCATCCACTAAATGAGAATGTCTACGCTGTGGACTGTGGGCAGAAGCTAGGTGGGGAAGGCGGAGGGAGGTCTTTTTAATTTGATTTTATTTTACACAGCCTATTGTGCGGTCCCTGGAGAGACTGCTGGATGTGACTCTGGTGGTGAACATTAACCGTAATGCACTACTGTTCAAAGTAAAGCTACCGAAAATGCACAATTAAATGCCTGATCTCATTTACCCAAGTTCTCACCATATTCGTCCTCAGGGTAAGTGGGAACTAGCACCTCTAACTGGGGTGAGTTTTCACCTTCTCTGACCTTGACCAGTTCCCTGTCAAGATATTAAACACAGTGAGAGGCAAAATGTGCCCAGTTAGAGAGAAAAGGATTAAGGAAGGAAGTGGCCTGGGCATCCCCACGCACTTGCAAAATCCGATGGAAAAGAGAGCTGCATTATGACTTCTTACCATAGCTACTTAATCTTGATCGCATTCAAGAATCATCTTGTCTGTCCTCAGAGGAGTCAGTACAGAGATCTACATGGGTGTAAGAGTCAATCTAGGAACAGCGGGAAGATGCGTGCCTACCTTGCAGTCTCTGCCCGATTCCTGAAGTCTCCTGCTCATAATACGTTTCCCCCTTTTACACCTGGCCCTCCCAGGTGGTTTTCTCTTTAAAATTCTACTGTGATGGCACAGAGCTCTCAACTTTCCACCAACGCCACACATTCCCCAGTGTGCTTCAAAACCCGCAAGCTGAGTTCCCCATGTAGAGAAGTGAATAGATGTTGCCAGGGATCCTCCTCTCAGACACGTGCTGCCATATAACATTAAACAGACGACCCTACCTTTTTCTCATCTGACTTCTCTGGCAAACCAGAGGTGGCTTCTTTCATGTGTTTCTGCTCAAGCAGAGAAAATACACTAAATGGGACCTGAAATACTGGAGGTGCTAAATAAATGTCTACACATGACTTGTATTCATCTTTTGTTATTGGTATATATTGAGTGTAATAATTTTAATACAGTTTTTTCCTTTCTTAAAATGTGTATACATTTTTTTGGCACCCCCTGTAGTGTGTGTAACAATCCCAGACTTGCCTGGGGAGCTGGGTTTTTTCCCTTGACTGAGGATGAAATGTGAAAGAAGGGCGAGCAGGAGAAGACCGTTCAGGGGAAATCTATGGGCATTTTCCATGTGGCACCACCCAGGTGCTGGTGGTGTGACATTCCTCTATGTCCCCAGTGCTCTCAGAGCTACCTGACGCGCGTGTCTGCAGGGTTTACTGAGCTGGACTGTTGTCTGGGAATCTAAGGTGGTCCAGTGGGCATGTAACAGTTTTATCTTGAGACTCACTGGTTAGGAGGGGGATGCAGATAGAAGGGAATGTGATGTCTGGTAGTTATCATGGCCCATTTGGTGTGTGTTTTAGGGCATCTGTTTTACGTACTACTGAATAATGTGCGCCACTTTCTTTGATCTTTTGAAAAATGGTAGGGAAAGACAAAACGTGACCATCTGCAGGTGTGTGCATTCAGAGCAGGGCTGGGGAGGGTGGCCCCACTTCCTCCCACTCAGCGTGGTTTGATCCCAGGTGACTAAGTAGCAGAGGAAAAGGCCTGAGGTCATTTATCAGCAGCATTATGGCTAACAATAGTCTCAGAAAGATTTCCATCTGAGGGTCTTCCAGTGTTCCAAACAGATAGCCCCACGAGAACTCCAAGTGGCAGGTGTGATGGACTTTCTCCAAAGTCCTGAGAGCCGGAGGATCTCGTCATGGTCCCCTGGCTCTGAGGGACGTGGTGGTGGTCTTTCCACTCAAACAAGAATCTTAATGAAAAGCATTCCTCTATGGTCAAGAATGACAGAAATTCCAACTTTCACGTAAGATTAATGAGATATTTATAACAGAAAATATGACTCACAACCATATGGTAGGTTGAGAAGATTCCAGTGAGAACGATCTTTGCAAAGTCCATTCAGAATAACGTGCAAGGATGGTCCAATGGTTTTCCTAATGAATCCTCACCAACTGTGACCACCTTTCTTCCTACCTACAAAATGTCTAAAGACTACAGTTTCTTGCCATTCTCCTTAAGATCATTTCTACTCTCACCTGAAAGTTTTAGGTTCTGGGTCCAACCCCTCAAGCCTCCCCACCCCCAACAGCTCTAGGAAACTGAATAAATCACTTAAGTCCTTGAGTTTCATTTTCTTCATTAGCAAAATGGGGACAATGATTTCTTTTCCAATTATTTTACCGAGTTTGGTGAGGCGTAAATGTACAGGTGATTTGGAAACCCTAAGGCACACTATATAAACATCATGTCTGTATTATGTATTTTTGCTCATTGGTGTTTACAGATAATCTGAACTTCAGTTTTGCCTCTGTTCTTCAAGCATTTTTGGGCATATATAGGAGTCTTTAGTAAGATATGTATTTTTAAAGCAGTGGACAGCATTGTGTATGTGTGTGTGTCCACACATGTGTGTATATCAGTCACTGTGTATATCATTCAGGTGGGTCCTGATGCCCACATTTCATCTTCCTGTGGCTGTGTAACTGCTCTGCCTCATTGCACAACTTGTAATGACTACACAAAGTCGCCCCAGGCACACAGGAGCTGCAGTGCATGATAAGACTGATGTGATCTTGCACAATTCCTCTTTCTTAGCCCGTTGCCAGTTTTTCATCAGTCAAGTCACTTCATGTTTGTCTAATGATCCACTG